GGGCGCGGGCCCCGGGCGGACGCGGCTGCGCCGTGACGCGGCGCCCTGCCCGCCCGCAGGAGAGGCCACAGCCGGACGGCCTGGCCCTCGCGCCCCCCTTCCCGCTCGCTCGTCTTCGCTCACAGGAAGTTCTCCATGAAGATGCGGACGATGGAGCCCTCCACGAAGCGCGCGGACGGCTCCGCGGCCCGGCCCGCCCGCGCAGGCCCGGCCGCCGGACCCCTGCTCGGCGCCGCCATCTTCCACAGCGCCTTCCACCCGCCCCGGAGCGCGGTACCCGTTGGCGGGCAGGCGGGGGCGGGACAACTAAGCGCTACGCTCATTGGCTGCAGGGSTGAAGGCGCGGAGGTACTGTGAGGCTGCTCATTGGCTCTTGGTGAGCAGCTCTGGCACCGATTGGCTACAAGCCGCGGAGGGGCGGGAGGAGRGCGGAGTGTTGCTGAGCAAGTTTCGCTTTCAGAAAGGGCCGGGGGCGGTGGCGCGGGGCGTGACGTGCTCCGCCAGCCGGGTCCCCGCAGTGCCCTCTGGGAGGTGTAGTCCGGCGGACAAGGCCTCCCGGCAGGCGCTGCGGCGAGGAGGACTACACCTCCCAGAGGGCATTGGGGGCGAGGTCCCGGGCGGGCAGCTCCCCGCGAGGGGGCAGCGCGGCCCGCAGTGTCCCGCCGCCATGCCGTGCCGTGCCGCCATGCCATGCCGTGCCGTGCCGTGCCGCCCGCGGCCGCCGCCCGCAGCGCCAGCCCCGCAGCCGCGAGGAGCAGCCCGCGCCCGGCCGCTGCTGAGGCCGCACGGCCCCGGCCGCTGCCACAGGGACCCTCGGGGGCCCGGGGTGCCGTGGGTTTGGCGCCACAGCGCTTCCCTAGGAGTTCGCGTGTGGAAAGGGAGGCAAAAGCGCGGAGGGAAAAGAGAGGTTGCCCAGGCACGAGATAAAGGATGCAGGGGGTTGTTTGAGCAGAATTCCCCCAGAAATGGGAGCGCGGGTGCCCGTGGGCAGTCAGGAGCTTCCAGCTGGGATGTGAGGGCAGCTTTGGTGGAGGCGCAAGGCCTGCATTGATGTGGGAAAGCTTGGAGTGGGAGAGCTTGRAGTGGGAGAGCAGGCCGGGAGCGCCCCGCGTGCGGGGGCACCTCTGTGCTCCCCGGGGAAGGATTTAGAGCAGTGTTATGATAACAGCCTTGCGAGATACAACTGCACACTCAGCTGGTGTGCGTTTGGCTAGCTAGGTTATGAGTTAATYGGTTTGTTAGTTTCTTGGTGGTGTTTTGCTTAATCATTACGACTTGTAGCAGCCGCATTCTCTGAGGTCTCCAAATTGCAGTACGAAAGATCCTTGGAGTAACTTTGCAGCCAAAGCTTAGATGAGCCGTGTCTGCATTTAGCTGCAAGAGACTGGTGGAGAAATACAAAGAATCGGCCAGGACGGATTCCCGGGGCCCGGGGAGCATGAGTGCCCGTAAGAGCAGGAAAGAAAAGAAAATAAATATCGTGGCATTTGGATCGAGAAGAGCTCTTGCATGAAGAGCTTGTGGACTTGAAAGCTAATGCAGGGTTTAAAAGCAGCTAGGTGGAGCTGCTTAGCAGTGAGAAAGAACACGGCTTAGCAGTGAGAAAGTGACCGCAAGGTGATGCRTAAAGGGGTGCGAAAGAGACCAGGAATGGCAGGTGGAAATACGGGTCTTCAGAGACACTGTTCGCAAGTAGGAAGTAATGGGATGAGGACAGAGAGGGAGCCAGGAAAACAGCAGGGGAGAAGACATCGTGAAGGGTCATGCCGACCAAATTAATACAAAGGAGACGTGGGAAGAYGTCTTTCACTGCTGGGCGCTCCTGAAGTTGCGGTGATGTTTTTCCAAGGGGAAGGCTGCCATGGACACCGGAGCAGTTTGGGGGAGCAGGGGTGGCYGTCTGCACCCGCACGCGTAGCAGGTCGGGCTGTGCCAAGGGCTCCCCTCTGCTGCACGCCGTTCTCTCAAACCGGTGCAAACCCAGCCAAACAAATGCCGGATCGTTCTCGTGCTCGGCTGCGGAGCCGTGGCGGGCTTGTTCAGCTCTCGCACAGCGCTGGGACAGAAGGTTGTTGGCGTTAGGCTTGTGCCCAGCTGGGAACAGTGGTGCTCTATGTAGTTAGGCTGTTGTCTCATCGGTGCAACTGGGGTCAGAGTTTGGCCCTCTTTTTAGTAAGTATTTAGGATGGGACAAAATGTCAGCCAACTGAAAATACAATGGACTTTAAACAAGCAACAAAATGGGCTTTTCCCCTGCTTTTGGGATAAATTTGGTTTGGCTGCAGCAAAGCTATATTTACAGCAAAAAAATACAAGCCCTTTAGTGTATGGTGTGCTAAAGTTGCTTGTTAAATTTTCTTTTTTCTCATCCGTTTTGTGCCACAACCAGGTTCCATGCCTGGAACAACCTGTTTACAGTCTTCAGAGAAATGATCTAACAGCAAACGTGCCCAGTACAGCACAGCCTCAGCACTGAGACTGTCCAAGCACTGACACTAAGGTGTTCTAGACCTTAGTCCTGCTAAGGTCCTTTTAGAGCTATTCCAATGGCAGGAACAGAACTAAGAGTAGAGGAAAACGAATCTAGGGTGGAAATTAGTTGCACAAGCAGTGCAGATTTGGACAGAGCTAATGGAATGCTTTTTACCTCAACATAGGGCCGGGGTGTGCTAGTGAAGCAATCTTAATGCCTTTGTCTCTGCTTTTCTTATTAGTTTGGGGTTTTTTTTTAGATGTTTTGTTGCCTTTCAGTAATAAGAGAATTTGCCTATTCTAGAAGCTGAAATTCAGCAGGTGTTTAGCTTAAGAAATAATAAAMATCTTATAAAGAGAGCTTTCAAATTTTCACTCCATCCTGCAATTCGGGCAGAGGCAGTAAGAAACAGAAAGGGGCTGTTTTTTCCCAGWGAACGCCAGGGAGAACACCGGCCTTTCCTTCACATTTATTTAGAAGTTCCCTTAGAAGTAKGCCGCATCACCAAGCCTTGTGATGTTAATCACTGTATAAAATTCTGCTTTTATAATTTGATGTGAATACTGGTGCTGAAACATAAGCTCTTCRAAGCAACTGCAAAGCTCCTAAGAAAAGGCCCGGTATTTCTGGCTGTTCTTTTCATTTTCAGAATATAGTAGCAAGAATAATGCATTGGTCACCAGCTGCTCACAGAGCCTGTAGGGAGCTGGGACAGGCAGTTAGAATTCCTTAAGTTTGTTTGGCTCTTCATCTTTAGGAAATAATATTCTGTGCTTCAGGCTGTGTAACATATKTTATTGCATGTATTTATTGTACAGCCTCTTTTAATTGCTTTTATGCCACCAACATGGGGGAAGAAAAGGGTATTTTTCCCAGAAAAAAAGTCATTCCTAGCAAGTGATACTGAGGGCTAGGCCTTCACTCCTTGTCTCAAAAATGTCCTAAAACACATTTTAATGGAGAGAATCCAAATTATCCAAATAATAGAGCGATGTGGAATCTGATCTAGCATGTGCCAGGTGCTGTGGTGCCAAAGACCACCTAGAACAGCCTAACCCAGGTGTTGGAGGAGGTTGCATGCAGTGACTCCAGGCATCTCCTGTGTGGGAGCTTCCTGCAGCAGCCGAGACCGGCTTGGGGATGCTCTGTGGATGAGGATGGTGAAGAAACCCACGCATTACGCTTGTTCCTGGTACTCAAATTATTGGATTAAAACTGTTAAGTCTGGTTGTTTCTCACTATGCCAGTAACTAAAGTTTGGGGTGGAACAGTAAGATGATTTCGAAGCAGTACAGCTTCAAAACRAAGCCTTAAACACAAACTGGAAAATAAGCATGCATCTTGTGCCTTACTAAGATAAATGCAAGGCACATCTGGTTGGGTAAAGAATGAAAGAAAAAGACAACTATATTCTRTGTGAGTGTACAAATTGACTTTATTTAAAAAAAATATATGCCAGAAAAGCTACAGCATCAACTGTAAATATCCCCCTTTCAAAACAGCAGTACCTTACATTGAATTATACTGGAACAGTAAAAGTCAATTTGTTATTGACAAGAATCACAAACATATTCATTATAGTAAAATAATACAAAAACACRAAACAATAGTAGCAAAACATTAGTTTCCCGGAGAGATTTGTCATCATGAATAATTGCACTTAACCTGCAGGATACTACTAATAGCTAGTATTTTCTCTGTTACTTCAAAATATTTATAATTTCCTTTAAAAAAATCCACTCTGTACCCAACACAAAACATTCACTGAATGCAGATTTAAGATAACACAACCCTAGGTTTTAATTGTGCACCTCCACTTTCCTCTTTGATTTACAAAAGCATTAAAATACAGTATTTAAGGATGTGTGCAAAATGGGAAGCTTTTATATAATAACTGAAATCTCATGCAAAAGAGAAATTAACCAAAAAAAAAAAAAAAAAAACAGTCTAAGAAGCCCTGAGTCAATAATTTCATTGCAAAGGCAAGGAATATGAGTGCTCTGTGTTCTTCCTATATGTTGTTGAATATTCAAATGAGTCCAGTACTTATTTAAAACATGCTCTAAAACAGGTAGTTTGTGCAGTTCGTCACATAAAAACCTCTTTTTTTCCTTTCAGCAGCATGCTTTAAAACTCAATTTCATTTAAGCTGTCGGGATAGCCTGATGAAAACTGGATTTCTTCCACTTCTAGAATAAAAAAGAAGGGGGAAATACTGTAGTTACTAGCATTTTTTTAACACTTCACATAAGAAGAATGCAATTACCATGTTGGATTTTAAATATAATAGCTGTASAGTGATTACAAAGTTCTRTAAGACCAATGCTAGTTCAAGTTAYGGGAATTCTCTCAGGTTTCACRTCTTATTWAAAAAAAAATCCAGAGGAGCCCAGCAACATGATGCTAAAATCAGACTCATTCACTTGGAACTCAAAGGAAAAAATACCACCTATCTCATTATAAAAATKACTGCACTAAATACTAGGTGTCCCTAAGAAAAAGGTGTCCCCTTTTCTTAGGGACAAGCCAATAAGCCAAAGGTTTATTTAGTTTACCTAAACAGGATCCTGACTGGAACAGAATGTCGTCAACAGCCGTATCACTTCTTATCGACACCCCACGAATTGCTTCAAAAATAATCTGTAAAGGTAAGGCACAGGTTCATGAATACATCTATGGCGAAGAACCAGAGAAAAAGGCACAAGGGGTATC